AAAAAAAAAAAACCAAATTAAAAACTCTAGAGGCTTTTCTGGAGGATATGAAGAGTATGGCAGAGCTTCAAGTCATTTTTCAACAATTGCGAAATTCTTTCATCTCAAACGTGCATTAAGAGGGCAAGCCGGACTTAATCGAACACCTAAGCCCACCGAATAGAATTATGACATAGTATGAACTCGTCCAGAAACTCCTGAAAATGGATGATATTATAACCTGTTATCCTGTCCACCTTTCCGAAAATGGTATGAAAAACTACTATTAAAATTATTTCAGTTTTATATGTTTTATAGTCAAATCAGGTATAACGTCGAAAGACAGTCGTCTCAAAAAGAAAGCTTGACTCCAATTTACAACCTGAGTGAGAAAAAGAAAAAAGTATAAATTTGAGTAAGAAGAAATAACCTAAATGCGAAAAAAGAGTATAAATCTGAATGAGAAGAAAAAGTATGACCTAAGTGTGAGCAGAAGATGTTAATGAGGTTATGATCAGAAACTGAGTCTTGTATGAGTTTTAAAATCGAGCATAATGGAGAAATGAAGCAAGTTTAACATATATGGATTTAACTAATCCTAATTTATCATCGTTGCAGATTGATTATTATAAACTATATTACATACATAAAAATCGATTTAATAGCGCTCTAATTGGAAATCGAATTTCCAAAAATTTGGGATTTTCTTTTCGGTGCGGAAGGAAATCATCCAAAATGTTTGATGTATTTATACAAAAATAATATATAAATAGAGAAAAAGTAGAGACATTTAAAGATTATATTTTGAGCTGAAAGACTGTGGAAGACTAATAAATACTGCTGAAATAAGGAAATAAAAGAAAAGTGTTAACTAACGAGTCTGAGTTCAGTGGTTTACCTACATAATAAGAGTGCAGATCCTTGTTGATCGAATATGCCACAGAGTAAAGTTCAAGAAGTATTAAAATTCCCGTATTGGCGATTAGTAATATTGAAAGCTATTCTTATTTCTAGCTGGAGATAAGTGGCATTTCTGGATAAGAGAGAACGTAAATAGGATTTTACACTAGGTGTAGAAGCAAAACGGACTAAATTATCTGATATTATCAGACATATCATTATGATCTCAAGTTAATATAAATCTGCAAAATAGATAGTTCGTTTTTCTGTTTCTGTTGTCATCTTGTTTCAGGCAGCATACTATCAACTAAGAGCAAAAATACTGCAGGAACTAAACCGAGCATATCCATAACCTCTGCTGTCCCGTCCGTCCTATGTTTTCCGGTCCATCTTGTGTTGTCCTATGTACATCCTACATCCTATGCATGAAATCTTGTATGAAACTGAATGTTCATCGCCTATCGATGATGAAAAGAAACGCAAAAGAAGAAAATAATGAACAAAAACAGGAGAAGGCATTCAAGTTTAACTTCCTATTATCCTATTCACATACACACTGCACTCACAACACTGCAACAGTTTTGTTTGGCCGGGAATGATTATTCAAGATGAATAAAAAATCATCAACTGTGACCTCTTAGGTACCCAAATCAAATGATTAGAGTATAATTTAATTGGATGCTGTACCCTTTTGAACGACCCTTCCTGTACTCCAGAGCATAAAAATTTGAAGTCTAACATGTGAAAATCAATCATCAACTTCAAACAATCTCTTGGTGAACTTGAGACAAACTGACAGAGCTTTACAATCAAAATTACTATGTTTTTATCCAATGGTTTTAAAATGGTTAAGGTTTTTAATGAGGCAGTATTTCCTGCAGATATTGTTGATATCCATAAAAATCTAATTCCATGCAGTGATCGATTTGATCTCCGTGGGCTAAAAATTCCATGCAGTGATCTATTTGATCTCCGTGGGATAAAAATTCCATGCAGTGATCTATTTGATCTCCGTGGGCTAATAATTCCATGCAGAGATAATTTTAATCTCTGTGGGACTAAATCAGTTCTGAAACAATGGACTGTTCCACTGCAGGGGACGCCCGTAAGACAGTGACATTTCAACTGCTGGGGACGCCCGTAAGACAGTGACAATTTAACTGCAGGGGACGCCCGTAAGACAGTGACATTTCAACCGCACGGGACGCCCGTAAGACAGTGAAATGGTATGCATATAGCAGCACGAAATTGCATTAGCATATAAATAATATTGCCACCAAAATTCTGAAACTCTTTACCTCTCTTAATTTAAAAATCTAAATTTTCGTTTATACTCCTATATATTTTCAAAATTACCTGTAAAGACGTTAATAGCCTGAGTCGCTGAATGTCTCAAAATTATAATAACTAACTAACTAAAATGGATATTACAAATATATCAATAAATTGTAATATATCATAAATAAATTTTAATCAATTTCGCTCCCTCGGGAGAATGTTCATCTGACAACATTGTCAGTGTCAGCTGATAAAATGTATATTTTCACATAAGAGGTTAATAAAAGTTTTCAGTCAGTCTTTGACATCTACCGAGAATTGTTTTGGTATTTATTCACAATTACTACGTAATTATATATTTTTCTTATTAAAAACTAAGAAAAACAGAACTTTAAAATGTGACGAATTAAACATCCAAATTTGCGGTTTTGGTAAAAAATGTCATGTCCGACCTCTCTAATTGACTCGATCCATTGTGCGGCGCTGCGCCCACGCCTCGTAGCGCTGCGCGCCGATATCATCCTATAGCAGGGCTTCGAACCGAGCGACCCCCTACCTGTATCCAAAGCTGAAGGTCGAGGTGATCTGATAAAGTTTAGACAGAGGGGGCCGGCTGGGAGCCCGGGTAAAATATCCCGGTTCTTATCAGCCACAGCCGAGAGCTCGAGGTCGGAGTTACCTCTGCTCCAGGTCCTGGTCTCAGATGCTGCTGCCGTCATAAAGGACGAACTGGGATTGTGATCTTTGAAAATTCTCTCCTGTGTTCAAGAATTGAAGCTATGAAAGTGAATATACAGTGGAGAAAAAACGAAATGAAAGCAATATTATAAGTAAAATTATATCGAGTCTAGGATTTCAGCCGTTTCTGATAAATAAAAACGGGTTCCGCGTCTGGGTCGTGGGAAAATTTGAAATTAAAGAGTTTTAAAGTACCTAACAACCATTTCGGGCTACCTCTGGTGTGAAATAGTTGCTTCAAGCGCCGTGGCACGCTGCAGCGCGGCGGGCGGGCGGCCAGCGCGAAACGCTCATTGGCCCCTACAAACCTAACAGGGATACTTCACGCGTTGCGCAATGCGTGAAGTATCCCTGTTAGGTTTGTAGGCGCCAGTGCGTCGCCGCTCCGCTTTGTGATAGGCTCTAATATTTAATCTGGCGGAGTAAGCGTTTTTCAACTCATGATTTTGAAATGTTTGCACGCTCTGTATGGATTATTCTCATTTTAATTGATTAAAAAAATATGTATTAAAGGAAAATATAATGTGTGTTTTGCAAATATTAAGGTGGTTCCGTATCAAACTTAATGATTTTCTAAGCACTCGAATTTCTTACACAATTTCTTATAGCCTTTCATAGCAGATGGCGATAAGGTGTATAATCCGGCGATAGGAACTGTAGTCCGCCTTCGTAATTTTGTATCGCTTCGTATAGCCCAGCTCTATGATTTTCTCCGCTTTCGACAGCCAGCTATATGATTTTCTGTAGCCTCCTTTAGCCGGCTATAAGAATTCTTATAGTATTTTGAAACGCAGCTCCTATCGCCAATTTTTACCCGGGTGAGGAACACCGCACGAAATCTTAGCGACACCTGATCCAGGTTTCGAATTTTCACTACCCAATGACAACAACGAATCTTCCCTAGAAGCGGATGAACTTATTTGGCAATCCAACAATTCAATGTCAACATGTGGTCCCATCGCATGTTTAGAGTTTGATCTCCCGGACGACATGACAGTTCGCGTGTTCCCTTGGTAGACTCTGCTGCCCCCGTGAAAGAGTTCGCGTTATCCATCCACCACAATATGATCATGTGAACCTCTTTGTCGTCTCCTTTGTCTCCTAGAGTCCCTTTATACTGAGAGTCAAGACAATTTGAATCCATTTCTGATTGGTTCCCGTATTTTAGGCCTCCACAGTGTCACAAACGGGAATAAAGATTACATTTTCACCAATTGCAAAGATTATAATCTGGAATGGACCAGGGAATTACGGGTTCGGCAAGGAACAAACTGAATGAGAGGAGGAACGGAGAAAGGCATTTGAGAATGGGCCGATCAAAGATTACGAAAAACGTTCAATGTCTGTAATCTTTATTCCCGTTTGTGACATCCATGAGCCGAATTGTCTTGACTCTTAGTATAAAGGGACTCTAATGTGAACCTCTTTGTCGTCTCCTTTGTCTCCCGAAATTTAATCCGTCTATTTTTCTGTTGGCAGGATGTTGGGGCTCGTATTAGCTGGGCTCTTCGTGGGGGCCCGGGCAGCGGACGCCCCCGCAGCCATGGCCGACTGCCCTTTCGACGTCTCCAACCTGGAGACTGCCGCGGCGACGCCGCCCTCGGAGACTTCTCTCTACGGCGGTCAGATCGACTTCAGCGTCAACCTCTTCAAGTCCATCGTGGAGGCCAATAAGGGTCAAGCCAACGTCTTCCTCTCGCCCTACAGCGTCTTCGACGCCCTCCTCCTCACGTACTTCGCCTCCGCTGGCAGCACTGAACAGGACCTCAAGAAGGTTCTTGGTCTTCCGGATAACTATGTAAGTTGGAATTCTTCCTTGATCCCGTGTCTCTTGTAAATAGACCGAGTTATGCAGAACGGAATCGAACCACACCAGCTATTGCCAAATTTAATTGTTTATTTGAAAATGATTGTGCAAATTTTGTACAAATTTTAGTGAATTTTCTGCATAGTACAAAGCTAAACTCATTTAAATTTTCAGAGGAATCCACACAGGCGTTTTTTTTGTAAAAAATGAAATTGCCCGGATAAATTTGGCAATAGCTGATGTGGCCTGGTTACTTTCTATGAAACGCGATCTAACTATTAAAGTTTATTTAGTCATTGCCACTAGGGTTGTAATGCATTGAAGTGGAGAAACTCTAGTCTTGCCAATTCGCGAGAATGAGTCATTAAACCATGCGCACGAATTTTGACCTGCGAATATATTTTTCTGGCACTCATGGGTCGTAGGCATGGGAAAATAGCGTTGTGGACAGGGCTCATGAATTAGATCGGAGGGCGAGCTGTCGTCGCCGCTGACATCATTTGGCGCTTTATAATTCCCATTAATTCTTATGGCCCTCGACTAACGAGCACACCCCTTCTTTCTCACCTGTTTCTGGTTCTGTTTAGCAGAAATAGATCCAATTTCTCTGTGTGTCCTCTACGCGTCTTTCCAAGAGGACTTTCAGAATATAAAATATAAAACTGAGGGTTCAGTAATCCATTCCCGGTGTGGTTACAATTGAAATATACCCCAGATACTCACGTGGATATTTTGTTTGCTTTAGGACAAGGGCCGCGTGGTGCGGGAGTACAAGATGAACGCGTTCCTCAACTCGATCCGGGGCCAAAACGCGAGCAGCCAGGAACTGGCGAGCGCGAACCGGATGTTCCTGAGCTCGGAGCTCCCCGTGCGGGAGTGCATGAAGGGCGCCTTCAAGGAGGAGTTCGTCCCGCTGGATTTCCGCGCCGACCCGGAGGCCGCCCGCAAGACCATCAACGACTGGGTCGCCGCCACCACCAAGAACAACATCCTCGATTTCCTCCCCCGCGGTCTCATCGACCCCGACACCAAACTCGCCATGGTAAGTCCCCAACCTCTGCTCTCTCTCTCTCTCTCTCCCTCTCTCTCCCCCTCTCTCTCTCTCAAGCCCTGGATAGACGATCCAATTCCCGAACCAATTCCGATCAAAGTAGCATCAAAGTGTCGGGAGTCATCAGTCTTAAACTCATTAATTTGCTTCATTTTAAAATGAAAACTTGGCAGAAATGTTTCCTGTGGCAGGAAATGATAAATGGTGGCACTCCATTCTGAACTTACTTTGAACAATTAAGTGCGGCCCGTCAACATTTGATGGTATATAGATGGTGACCATCAGTCATCAGCATGTCTATTTTGATCGGAACTGGTTCGGAATTTGATCGTCTATCGAGGGCTTTACGTCTCACCGTAACCCACCATAACCGAGGGACCGTAATGCTGCCATGCTAAGGGAAAATGCCATATGAACTCCAGGCATTGCCATATTTCCTTTAATAACCAACGAATTTACTAGAAAAATTCGGAATAATTTTCACCCAATTTATCAGAGAGTTTCGTTGACAGTTCAATCTAAAGTATCTGAAAATTTAAGGGAAAAATATTCACAATTTTGTTCAAAAATACATTTATTATTCGGGGAAATTTGGCAACTCTCGAATGTTCATACGGCGCTCTTCCTTAGCACGGCAGTAATGCTGCCGTGCTTGAGGAAAAACATGCACGAACATCCGGAAGTTGGAAGTACGGAAGTTCCCTTGTAAAACATCTATTTCTGAGGAAATTTAAGAATATGTTCCCTTGAAATTTTCTGATACTTCAGTTTAAATTGTCAATGAAATTCTCTGAAAAATTGGGAGACAAATCTCCACAAGTTTCCTTCAACATTCGTGTTTTATCAGAAATTTGGCAACGACTGAAGGCTCATACGGCGCTTTTCCTCAGCTTGCAGGAGATACAGCAAACACTAGAAAAAAAGTAACGGGCTGTATAGACGTACCATCCGTTTCGGGCTCAGATGCCGAAAGTTCCGGGTGCTGGAGCCGTAGCTTCGATTGCCCCGGGTGCCACGCCCGGTACTTTCGGCCTCCGAGCCCGGAACGCGGTCCGTACGTCTAAAGAGCTCGTAAGTGCCGCCTCCACGGCTGAAGTTTTTTTTTCAGTGAAGAGATTAGAATTCATGTCCGTAAAATCGCACGAAAATCACATTAGACTTATCAAAACCGTCTGAAATCTACTCCCTACAGCGCGTAATCTGCGTAGTTTAGCAGTGGCGTGGCGTGGCTTTGCGATATATCGATTGATCTTTCATTTAAACGCATGTAAAAGGATCGATTAGTAGGGCGTTCGCAGCGAACAACTTAATAATCGATTCTTTACCACGGATTCAAATGGAGAAATATCGATAATCGATCATTCACGCCACGCCACTGTAGTTTAGAACATGCTATTTCAAATTTCCCGCGTCTGCGGGCTGTTTCATCTATAAAATGAAAGTTCGATCATGTGGACTGAACGTTTGGTGTTCCAAATCATCTTGACTATTCTGTTTGCCAAGCCGAACTTTCGGTCTACATGACCGAACTTCGTTCATCAGTTTTCTTTACTATCGAAGTTTTGACGGACTGAAAGTTTAGTTTGACAAACCGAAATCTCGGATTGGTAAATCGAATAGTTGAGATTATATGGCACACCGAATGGTCGGTTTTTCACCCTCAACATTCCAGCGAATTTCTCTCAAGAATATTGATGGTTGCGCTGATCGGTTGCCACTCTCCGACTGTCTCTCTCCGATGTCTCTGATGAGTTGTTGAAGATCTGTTTCATCCGGCGATTATTCTCTAGCGTGCCTCACAAGCAAAGAAAAGTTATGAACGGTCCGTTTCATTTCAAAGGCAAAGGTCTCATTCTAAATGAAATAGATAAATTGTGAAAAAAAAGTCCTACGCTGTTCTAATACCAACTTGACCTTTACAAGTGAAAGTGAGATAAGATGACTCGATTGAATCATAATGACATCACACTGAAGTCGGTTTTACCACTGACAGGATGAAGTCCGGGTGCTCAGTGAACATAAATGAGATCGTTGTGAAACATGAAATAGTGTAAGGCTGACTTAAGTATGTTCACAAAGGTTATTGCTCCTACTGAGGATGAGTTAATTCCATGTTTTCCTGTTCCACTTAGTATGAGTGCTCTCGTTGCGCTAAAAATTTCATCTGGACGAATGTTTTGTCTAGTTCTCGGAAGAATGACCCGATTGCGAAAAGTCTTATGTTTTGTTTTGTCTCCGTATATAGCGACTTTTTTTTTCCTCTTCGTCCTCAATATAATTTTTACTTTTCACAGAATCGGTACCTATCGATTCAATCTTATTTACCATGAGTCACCGGAGTCCTATTGCTAAAGCGTATCGATAACTTTATAGTTTGAGTCTGATCATGGATGTCTGGCAATAGCATGCACGCTATAGAATCACCGCGCAGTGCATCAACAAATAGACGTGACTTCAATTTGTTCTGGGAAGCGGCAATGCTTTGAAAATACGAAGGAAAAACAGTTTGCCAGCACCAGAATTCATGGTCCCTGGTAAAAATTGGCGATAAGAGCTGCGTTTCAAAATACCATAGGAATTCATATAGCCGGCTAAAGAAGGCTACAGAAAATCATATAGCTGGCTGTAGAATGCGGAGAAAATCATACGGCCGGGCTATACGAAGCGATAAAAAATTATGCAGCCGGGCTACAGTTCCTATAGCCGGGCTTTACACTTTATCGCCTGGCTGCTGCTTTTTCGCCATCGATTATAAAAGGCTATAAGAAATTGTGTAGAAATGCGTGTGCTTTGGAAATCATTAAGTCTGATACGGAACCACCTTAATATTTACAAAACACACATTATATTTTCCTTTGATACGTATTTTTTTTCTTCTTCTTCTTTTTTTTCATCAATTAAAATGAGAATAATCCATACAGGATGTGCAAACATTTCAAAATCATGAGTTGAATAACGCTGACTCCGCCAGATTAAATATTAGAACCTAACACAAAGCGGACCGGCGACGCACTGGCGCCTACAAACCTAACAGAGATACTTCACGCATTGCGCAACGCGTGAAGTATCCCTGTTAGGTTTGTAGGCGCCAATGCGCGTTTCGCGCTGGCTGCCCGCCTGCCGCGCCGCAGAGTGCCACGGCGCTTGAAGCAACTATTTCACACCAGAGGTATTGCACAGTATCATACGAAACTAAAGGCGCTCTAATATATTAGGAATGGCAGGCAGCCTTCATAAGTACGGAGCTTTCCTCGCAAAATAAATCAAGATACTACGGCTCAAAAAGAGAGCAGTAGTCCAAAAACTCACTAAGTCCTGGCATCTGTAATTAGTAACGTTTAGCATACACGTTATCGCCTGGCTGTTGCTTAATCGCCATCGGCTATAAAAGGATATAAGAAATTGTGTAGCCGGCTATAGAAGCTATTGAAAATCTCACAGCCGGCTGTAGGTCTATGGTATGTTGGAACACAGATTCTACTGCCAATTTTTACCAGGGGTATTCCATTTTCTTCATCTCGATTTGAATCAGTTGTTTTCAAAATGGAACAGGTTCATTCCTCGATGAGTCTTAGTTAGCATGTCCTTTTGTACAAGCCAAGGCTCATGCAAAAATGGACCCAATCCTTTTTCAAAACAACTAATTCATTTATCTTCGAATGCAACTCGATGTGCACTATATAACTGACATCCTCCCAGAAACTATATTGATCAATTTTTCTGTAGGTTTTATCTATTTCTCTTTTCCTCTTCTTTTTTTCATGAGAGATTTAAAAAGTTTAATTTACTTCTTCGTGATTTTTACCATTTCTACCATCAATGTTTAGGTGAATGCTGCCTACTTCAAAGGGCTGTGGCAGTCCCAGTTTCTACCCGAATCAACCAAGAAAGATACCTTTTACAAGACACCTGATACAAAAATGAACGTTGAAATGATGATGCAAAAAGGAACTTTTAACTATAGTAAGTTTGATGAACTTATACAAATATATTTGTAAACCATTCCGCGGATTTTCAATTCTAATTCAAGTTTTTTTAGAGAGCACTCAAGATATCTGAAACGCCAATGCCACGTACCGCGTTGCCGTTCCCCTTTAATTTAAAGAAGATCCGATTTATTGTTAGGATAAGGAAACAAATTAGAATGCAGGAGATTGCTTCGTCATTCATATTAAAAGTTTGCAAAACGAACAGAACAATGGGCCTTTTCGTCGAGATAAGACGCCTGTTGCGATGTTAGCGCCTGAATACAACTATTCGAGCTCTGCGATAATGCGCGTTGCATACCCACTGGAATGAAGGCGTTTTGGCTTTCCTCATTTTTATTGCGCCGCACATAGCATGGCGCGTCGCAACGCCGCTTTTAACTACTGCCAAAGTGTCGCTCCGGTGAATGAGAAATGAAAGAACAAGGGACAAGAGGATAAAAGAGCTGCCTTTGGCGTTCTTTTTCCTTTGCGTGACTAACACACACCTTAGAACGTTCTACACATTAGCTTTTAGCATTTATAAGGCGAGTCAAGTGTAGAGCAAAACTGGGTGGATCATTAATCACATTTTGGTGCTGCCCGTGTTATTGAATTGACAATTGGCGCGTATACGTAGTATACCGCCTTTGCGATCGTTTCGACCCCCCCCCCCATACAATAACCGAGTCCCCTAGTTCCTTACCGAAAAGTGACTACCGCGAACTTCTGAGATTTTCCAAAGCGTGTAAAAAGTTTACTAATCCGTCAATAATAATGATTAAAATTTGTTTCTCATTCTGGGGCTCGCTAGTTTATGTGTAATGAATACCAAGAGTCTACGTTTCTTGGTTTTTTTTAAAAAAACCTTAGAATGGGGCGCGCTGATTTAAAATATGCATATATAAGCGGAAGCAAGCGAACTGATTCGAGGATGGCTGACCAGTTCGGCACTCCTTGAATGAGAATTTCACTCACTCCGTTTTGTTCACAACGTTGCTTTGACATATCTCCACAACACTGTTATCCTTTTCAAAAGTTGGTACTCCTTGCTCTGATAGCCGGGGCCACCAGGATAGTGGTAAGTGCAATCTGTGATGAGCCTCGAGACTCATTAGACCATTTGCTAAACGTGGCTCATACAGGAGTCCACTAAGCCCTCTCGTCCCCACGCTCCTGATCACTGCGTCGGCGTCACGAAGAACAATGGGCCTTGGGTCCCAACGCGGCCGATACCCGTACCCCAATTACTCACGCTTCATTAACCATTTCACCGTCACGCTAGGATTCATCCAATTTTCAAAAAAAAT